TGTACAGGCTCGGGGCAGTGGGATGTTCGGGACAATGGGATGTGTCCATCGCCCGCTTGCTTACTCTTAGATCTTGGACTGGCCGGTGGTCATTAGACTGTGGTTTAGAACTGACAGCAATGGGGTGTTCCAAGCAGCTGGCAGGGCCAGAGCAACCCCCGCTCTAGTAGGCGCTGGATGTGAGCCCCACCCGGGCTTCCCGTGGCAGAGGGTACTGTGGAATCCTAACCGGATCCACTCCGGGCCTTCCTTCTGTGTAGACCGCAGACCGCAGGTCTGTGCCTGGCTGGTCCATCTCCCCAGTCTCTGCGCAGCCTCAGGAAATGTTCGTAACCAATAGTCTGGGTTGGCCGCGGGTGGCGGCAGCCGTGGATGCAGTCGATATTCTTCATCTAAACTAAGAGTTAAAACCTGGACGGGGCGCCCTTGGTGATCCAGAACCAAAGTTCCATCTGGTTGGAAGTAAATCTGAGCTCCTATTTTGGTGAGCAGGTCCTGCCCAGCAGGGGGTAGGGGCACTCTGGGATGACCATGGGTTACCAGGCCCGCGGCTCTTCAGGTAGTCCCTGAGCATCGCTCATCTCCAGGGCTCCCTGCACCAAGAAGTTCTGCCAGATAACTTACCCCGGGGGGGGGGGGGGGGGCCTGAGCAGGACCGAGTGCTGAGCCCCAGTGTCCCCTTCACTCTGAGGGTTACCCTGGGCTCGGGGAGAGGGGCCAAAGCCCGTCCCCCCAGCCACTGAGCTCGTCTGCTTCTGTGACCAACACATGACGAGGTTCCTGTCCCAAATCACAGACTCTTCGTGCCAGTTTCTTGGGGCAGTTATTTTTTTTTTCTTTTTTCTATCGGATGTGGGGCCTGAACTCTGGGCCTGGGCACTGTCCCTGCACTCCTCAGCTCAAGGCAAGCTCTCTACCACTTGAGCCACAGAACAGTACTTCCAGTTTTCTAGTGGTTTATTGGAGGTAAGAGTCTCATGGACTTTTCCTGCCTGGGCTGGCTTTGAACCGCGATCCTCAGATCTCAGCCTCCTGAGTAGCTAGGATGACAGGCGTGAGCCACCGCCGCCCGCCCGGGGCAGTTCTTAACCCAGTGCCCTGACTCTTGGTCCCTCTGCAGTGGGGCCGGTCCCCTGGGTGAGCCTCTCTGCCTTCATCTCTTGCCAGCCTTCGCAGTTGGTGAACAACTCGTACTTGGCGTTGTATCTCCTCTGGGATCTGGAGGGGCTGCTGGAAGAATTCTCGCCATGGCCCGCGTCTGCCTGGCACTCTCCTGGCTCGGCCTCCTCTCCTCAGCCCCGGCTCCCGCCTGTTCTTCTATTGTTATCCCCTCTCTCTGCCACCGCCATCCAGTCCTGCAAACTCTTTTCTCCAATTCTTTCCACTTTCTGCAACTTTCTTCTAATGTCCAGTGCTGCCTGATCTACAAATGCCGGTACAGCTGCTGCCGTGTTCTGGGGTGCCTCGGTCCGTGGGGGGCACTGTCCAGGTGCCTCCGTCACTCTAAAAAGGCAGCTGGACTTTCATCCTGACCTGCTGCCCATCTTCTACCTTGGCCAAGTGATTGGGCTTTGTGCAGCCGCTATGAGACGTGGCATTAGGGTCTGGCGATCGATCCGGGGCCCAGTCAGGACCAGTTAGAGGGAAGGTGTCGTTGATGTGGCGCCATTCACAATGGGTTGTCCGTTGTCTCCTGGAACCAATGTCTGGGCTTCTTTCTGAATCCTTTCCCGTTCCTTGGTGAAAAGGACCTTGAGGAGCTGCAGGCAGTCATCCCGGGGGCTGATGAGCGAACGCAGCAGCATCTCGGAGGCTAATTAGATCTTGGGGTTGTCAGAAAATGGGGCATATTTGGTTCTCCAATTATACAGGTCACTGGTGGTAAAAGACCAGTCGTGAAGAGGTTGGTGACCAGTTGCATTGGGAGGTCCAGCGGCTCAGAAGGGAAGTAGGACAGTCGAATCCGCAGGCCCCTGGTCGCAGGGGGAACCGCCCTGTGTGCCCTGCCACAGGTCCCTCCGCGGCTGCCACCGCTCCACCTTCCTCTGGCGGTGGCAACAGCTCAGGCGCAGTGCTCCCTGGTGATGCTGGCGGCTGATAGGGAGGAGGTAAAGTTAAATCTTCCTCGGTCCCTTCCAGCAAAACTGGGTAAGGAGGCACTGAGGGTTTAGTCTCAGCATTTTTCTGCTTAGCAGCCTGTTCTTGTACTGCAAGAATCTTTGAGAGCGGTTTCTGTGGTGGCAAAGAGGGTTTCAACCAGGAAGCGGGGAATGGTTTCTACCAGATCTAGCCAAATCAGGATATATGGTATCTGGTCTGGATGACCGTGTCATCCTGGAAGAAAAATTATATATATATATATTTTTTTGGGGGGGGGTCCGGTTGTGGGGTCTGAACTCTGGGCCTGGGCGCTGTCCCTCAGCTCTTCAGCTCAAGGCTAGTGCTCTACCACTTGAGCCACAGCATCACTTCTGGCTTCTTTTAGCTTATGTGGTACTGGGGAATTGAACCCAGGGCCTCATGCATGCAAGACAAGCGCTCTACCACTGAGCCACCTTCCCAGCCCAAAAAATTATATTTTTAACCTTGTAGATGGTTGGAAGGTGAAGGCCCCTTGGGCTGGCCATCCTGCCAAGAAGCTGGGCCTTTCTGAGCTACGGAACCTGATTAGCTTTCCCTTCCTGATTTCAACACTCAGATTGTAGGCTCTGCCTTTAACATCCTTAACATGGCCAGTCAGAAGGGAGAGGGGAGTGGTTCGAGTCTGTCCTATACCGTCCATCAAACAATAATAAAAAGCAGCCGACAGACAAGGAAGCAGAACTGACGCACAGAAAGACAGAAAAATCCCTCCTGTGCCCGGAGGCTGAGAGTAGGGCGACAGCCTTACCGCAACCTTGAGACTTTGGGCCCCAGAAACAGACCAAACGGAACAGGTGAAGCAGGCAATGAGAGCGGGGTCTGACGCTCGGGCTGTGGGGCCTGGGGGATCCCGGACAAGCCCCCAACCGTCATGCCCACATTGTGGATCCGCGGAGACCACAAGGAGCCGATTCGATGCAAGCACAGCGCTAGGTGGTTTATTGCAGGCCGGGGCCTGGACTCCGGGACCACCGTCCCCGAGGCAGCCAGCCGCCCACCCCCCCGCCCCGAGGCAGCCCATCCCCCCCGCCCCGAGGCAGCCCGCCCCCCCCCCCGCCCCCCCCCGCCCCGAGGCAGCCCATCCCCCCGCCCCGAGGCAGCCCGCCCCCCCCCCCGCCCCCCCGCCCCGAGGCAGCCCCCCCGGGCAGCCCGCCCCCCCCGCCCCCCCGCCCCGAGGCAGCCCCCCCCCCGCCCCGAGGCAGCCCCCCCCCCCCCGCCCCGAGGCAGCCCCCCCCGGAGCCCCGCCCCGCCCCGCCCTCAGCAGGGTGCTGACTGCCGTCCGCAGCTCGGGATGGCTAACACCCTGCAAGGCTGGTCAGCTGACACTGCCTGGCCAGGGGCCGGAGCGCCCCCTGCGCCGTGGGCTGGAGGCGGCGGCGGGACGCGTGTGGGCCAGGGCCCGCCCGCCCGCGGGACGGAGTCGCTAGAAAAGGCCGAGCACACGCGCGCGCGCACCCACGCACACCCACGCGCGCACCCACAAGCGCGCACACCCACGCACACGTGCACACCCACGCGCACGCACACGCACTCACGCACACCCACGCACACGCGCGCGCCGCCTCGGGAGGCCGGAATCTCCAATAGAAGGGATCTCCAGCGGACGGTACAAGCAGGGCCTGTGGCTCGTGCCCGCGGAGTGACACCCGCGTCGGCAGCGCGGCGTGTGACCCCGCACAGGAGGAGGCGAAGACTGTCGGCCGAGCTTCCGGTAAGGAAAAGCCCACCGGCCCCACCCCGGCCCAGCGCGCGGCCGAGAAGTGAGAGCGCATGCGCGGAAGGCGACCCGAGGGCGGGGCGATGAGGGCGGGGCGGCGGGGCCCCGCCCCGGGATTGCCCCGCCCCGCCCTCCGCCTCGGTCCCGAACGTGGCGGCCGCGGCTGCGCCAGAGACACCTGGACGGCGCTCGCGTTCCCGCTCCCTGGGGAACGCTGACACGCCGCGCCCTGCCTAACCGCCTGTCTGCGGCAGGGATGCCGCTCCAGAACACCTGCCACGCGTGTACGACACGAGTCACCTTGTTCGCAACGTGGGGGCGAGGGGGGGCCCGCCGCGGGAGGCCCGCGCGCAGCCGCGCGCATGCGCAGTAGGCCGGGGAGGGGGCGGGGAGAAGAGTCTCCCTGTCCAGGGGGTGGTGGGGAGAAAAACGGCGCCAGGGCTACGCAGTGCATGATGGGAAGGGGGGGTGTCGGGAGCGGAGAAGAACGCAGCACAGCCGTGCGCGTGCGCAGTGGCGGCCTCAGGCTACGCCGCTCCCGCCCCCCCACCCCCGCCTCCGCGTCTCGGCGCACGTCCGCCCGCGCCAACGCCTCCATTTTGTCCCCGTCTCCTTCGGGTGACACGGCGATGCTGTTCTAGTCACTAGGAAACGAGAGGGCGAGGCAGGTAGCGGGGCCGCGCAGGGCGGGCCCGGGCCGGAAGGACAAAGGACACGAGGCCCGAGGCCGGCCGTGCTGGAGAGCGACTTCCGGCCGCCGGAGGACAAAGCGGCGCCGGGCGCGCGCCGGGCGGGGCTGCGCCTGCGGGGCGCGCGCCCGAGGCTGCGCGAGCGCGCGGCGGTTACAAATGGCGGTTGGGCCAGGGAGGTGGGGAGGGCACGAAGGCGCCGGGCAGGCCGGCCCGCGGCGTCCGGGCCCGTGACCCGGGGTCGCTTCCCGGGGGCGGCGGGGCGGCCGGGGGCCCGGACCAAGGCGGAGGCGCGGCCTCTGCAGAGCGGCGGCGGCGCTGCCTAAGATGGCGGCCGGGGCTGCGGGCGGCGCGCGTGCGGGGCGGGGCTGCGGGCGGCGCGCGTGCGCGGCGGGGCGGGGCTGCGGGCGGCGCGCGTGCGCGGCGGGGCGGGGCGGGCGCGCTTTTGTGCCGCCGGGGCGCGGGCCGCCCCAGCCCAGCGCGGGAGGCGCCGACTCGTCCGCATGGCCGCCGCGCCGGAGCCCGGCGAAGCCGGGAAGGGGAAGGTAACCGCGGCGGACGGGCGGGCGGGGGGACGGACCGGGGCTACCCCAGCTGCAGCCCTAGCCCCGCCGCCGAGGCGGGAGCCCTCCCCGAGAGCCCCGGGCTCGAGCGCGGAACCCCGCTCCCCGAGAGGCGCGGGCTCGAAGCCAGCCTCCTCCCCAGGAGTCAGGAGGGCCGGCGTCCTGCCCCGCCCGGGAGGCCGACACTGCACGCGGCCAGGGCCACGCGGGGGGTTGCGGGGCCGGGAGCGTCTACGAGCCGCCCGGCGCGGAGGACTCGCAGCCCCGGCCGGCCACCTTCCCCGGGATACAGGCCGCAGGCAAGGCCAGGCCGCCCGGGCTTCACGGGGATGGCCTAGACTGCACCCCCACTCACGCTCACCAGCCTCCGGAGTGAGCCTGTTCACATTGGAAAGCTCTAGACCCAGGCTTCCCAACCTATTTTTGCAGGGTGGCGGGCCTCTTGTGGGACTATTTAATGATTCATTAGAATACCAGGCCGGTGCTCAGGCCTGCAGTCCTAGCTGTTACTCTGGAGGTAGAGATCTTAGGACTAAGTACCGCCCCACCTGGCTCTGGCTCTGGCTCGGCCAGGGAAAAGCTAGTTTGACTACAGGCATCCATTCACCGGTGCAGTCTCGTGCTCCCATCAGCTTCCCCTCCCAGCTTTGCCTGTCCTGTCAATATGGCAGGCATGGCTCTTGGAGTAGGGACAAAGAAACAGACAAAGCAAGCATCCAAAAGTTGATTTTTATTTTTTTATATAAATGAAGCAAGTCAGTCTTCAGGAGATGCCTGGGCCAAATAAAAATGTGGGTGATTCACCTTTTTTTCCCACCCAAACCTTGTCTTTTATTGTCCTTCAGTTTCTTTTCCCCTACAATGTACTCTCTAGCAGCTGGCTTCCTTTTAAAAGCCATGTTACTGCAAATAGTCTACCAGGCCGTGCATGTCCCACCCTCCTCTGACTTTTGGGCGAGTGCTGGGATGGAACACAGTGCAGTAAGTCATAGCTCATGGCTTGCCCTGCCCCTGAAGCCAGAAAACTCTTACATGACAATCTGTGTAAACATGCAGGAGAAAGCCAAGTCCACCATTCTAGTGGAGTAGAAAATCATTTAAAACTATCCTTGCCCTGACCCTTTTTGTGGCCTCAAAGGGTTGGCTGGCAGAGCTAAGTTCAAGTAACCTAACTGTATACACAAGAACCAGGAATAACCATCCTGCCATGTTCACACGGGAAATGTGCATTCTTAACCTAGTCACCTCCTACAAAATCTGGGGGGCAGGGGGGGAGTAAGTAGCACTATTCAAATGCTATTTTGCAAACCTTCCCAAGTACTTTTCCAAAATTACTCAAACTATCTGAGCAAATCACACTTCTACATATACCTACATGTGGAATATGCAGATTTCCAAAACCCTTGATAAGTATTATCATAGCAAAAACTTAGATCTTTCCATTTAAAGGCACAGACTATGATTAGAGGCCATGTAACTGGTTTCAAGGTTGCTGAATGGCACATTGTAGTTTAATCCTATAAATGCAAGGGAAGTAAAAGTACTAGAAGTGAAACCTAAATTCTGTGTTTTATTCTAGACCTTCAGGCTCCTAGGAATTTTAGATGTTGAGAATACTCCCTGTGCTCGGGATTCAATACTGTATGGATCATTAGGATCTGTTGTGGCTGGGCTTGGACATTTTTTGTTCACCAGTGAGTATGTTTCAATATATTCAACAATTTCCAAAATTTTCCTGAAATTTTCAGTGACTATAGGTGCAGATAGGTATTCACATAGTGACTACTTATTTTTGACAGGCAGAATTAGAAGATCATGTGATGTTGGAGTAGGAGGATTTATCTTGGTCACTTTGGGATGCTGGTATGTTTTTAAGTTTTTCACAAAGCACATTCAATAGGTTTAGCTCAATCGAAAACCGAAACCTCTTTCAGAGATTTCCACTCCATTTTTTATAGTGAAAATCACTCTTACAAAGAATACTGCTAGAATGTCTTTACCACAGCTTGGTATTTAGCTGTTCAAGCATTCAATGCTTGAACAAAGTAATGGCAGCAGATAACACATTTAGTCTCTGTACTTAAGGCCTCAACTGCTTGTCCCATTGGTTATTTCTGCCTATTCAACACACTGAAGTTACAATTTCACGTCCACTCAATGCTGATGAGTCAGTACCGTGAAGTTGGTGTCCCAAGGCCTTGCTGCACAAGTGCTGTGTACCAGGTGAACATGCCTTCAGCTCATGGACAACTCTCAAATCTGTATTTTTGAGCAAAATACGCCAAACTGAAACATTCATACTTTCTGGCTCTTTCTACAACAGCAAAATCTTTTTCTTAACTGTATAATTACTTTAAGAAAAAGTGTTCGCCGATATTTTGCCCCAAATATAACACATTAGAACATTCGCCACACTAGTGTTGGGATCAGCATTTGTAAGCACTTTAAAATCCTGTGATTATAGAGTGTAACTGTTGGATCTCCATAATTCCTTTAGCAACCTTACATATCAGAAACATCCTTTTTCTCACATGATTCCAATGTGTGACCTATCCTTTCTTTTCTTTCAAGGTTCCATTGTAGGTATAATTATGCAAAGCAAAGGATCCAGGAGAGAATTGCTCGAGAAGGAATTAAGAACAAGATTTTATATGAAAGCACCCCCCTGGATCCTGAAAGGAAACAAGGCAACAGTAGCAACAGCACAGCTCAGCAACCCTGAGCACAAAGCAGGTTTCAAACAGTGTATGTACAGCAAGGAGGTGCTTGAAACAGTGTATGTACAGCAAGGAGGTGCTCGAGCATGCGTCCGACGTAGCCTTTCACCTCCCACTGACAGTATAATATGCCTGCACTATGTATATTGGACCTGTCATGCCAGAAGAGAAGTTACTGGCAGTATGAGGAGTTACTGACTTCAAGAAATAAAAATCAGGAGATTTATCACCATATATTTTCCAGTGCTCTTGCTCTGAAGTTGTGTTTTGGAAATATGCAAGGTTTAAAGTGCCACCCCCCCCCCCAAAAAAAAAAAAAACTGGGCTTTAATCAGGGCTTAAGACCTCATAGGCAACTAGGCTATTACTTCAGTCATGTCACAACCCAGGAATTACACATTAACAATGCAAAGCCCTTTAATGTATGAGCACCTCACTGCCTCATCCCCTTTCTTATGACATAACCAACTATCAGCACAGTATCACTGCTTTTTGTGCTAGTCCTGGGACTTAAAATTAGGGTCTGAGATGATTTTTGCTTCAAGGCTAGTACACTTCTAGCTTTCTGGGTAGTTAATTGGACAGTCTCATGAACTTTGCTGGCTAGCTGGCTTTAAACCAGTTAGAACTGGTTGAGTGCACTGTGGGGGGAGAAAAGACACTAGGACAAGATTTTGGCTGTTACCAGTCCTATTGTTTTGATGGGTGAAGGTCAGGCTCAGCCAACGGAGTAAAGCAGATGGCAGATGTCTTCACACTACTTTTAGATTGCTGTCAAATACTGGTAAGAGATTACTGAAGTTAAAAGGTTTGCCCACCCTCAATTAACAAAGAACACAATCAAACTGGTCATGACCACTTAACTGCAACTGGGTGTCAAGTGGCTCACACCTGTAATCCTAGCTACCCTGGAGGCTGAGATCTGAGGATCATGGTTCAGATAGCCTGCTTAGGAAAGTCTATCAGAGTTATCACCAAGAAGCTGTAAAGTGCTGCTGTGGCTCAAGGTGGCAGAATGCTAGCTTTGAGCAAAAAACTCAGGGACAGCCCCAGGATCACCACAGATACATGTGTTTATGTGAGTCACCCATGCTTCAAAAAGCAGCATTGCATGGACGGGGAAGAGTATTAGTAGGCCCTACATGGTAATCTGCCATTTAGCAAGCTGTACAAAAAGGCCAGCTATGCTCTCAGCTGTTTGCTACAGGGGTATCAAACAAAATCTGACAGCTGACTCAAGCCCTGAGCTCTATCAACACTGCATTAACAGCTTACCTTGGTCTTACCCTGTAAGAGAACCTACCTCTTCGTTGATAAAATTTCCAATGCCTTTATCATCACCAAGATTACTTCATTTCCATAGTACAGTGACCAGCAAACTGCAGACCTAGATGAAAAGCAAAATACAATTTGGTTTAAAACATTGGTTTTAGAATGTTATTACAGATATTATATTTCTAGGCGCTACAGAACAGTCTTGAGGTAGATTCGTCCCTACCATTTAATCTATTGCTACTGTCATTCAACTCTGCATCTGAAATTGAGTTCTGTCAGACACCGGGCACAGGTTGATTTAAAGTATTTTCACTTTGCTTTAGCTGAGTGCTGGTGATTTACACAAGTAATCTTAACTACTTAGAAGACTGAGCTGAGGATTTCAATTTGAAGTCAGCCTGAGCAAGAAAAGTCTATGAGATTCATGTGTCTCCATGAGACTATCTTCAATCAACCAAACACTACATTAAATAAAGCTGGAAGTACAGATGTGGCCCAAGTGGTAGAGAACCAGCTTTGAGTAGAAAACGCTGGGAGACAGCACCCAGGACCTAAGTTCAAGCCCCAGGACTGGCACTTTTTTTTTTCCTTTCCCTTTTCCTCTTTGGGCAAAAAGAATGGAATGAGAGCAAGCCATCTCCAAAAATAGTACCAATAACGTGGCCAGTTAATGTTAGATCATTACTGAGTGTCACTAACAAAGCCTGAGTTTCCCACATCAAACCATCACCAAGGGAAACGTAAGCCTACAGTACCTACCTTCCATGCCTATTCAGGGGCCTCCAGTGCACTGCCTCCTTCATTGTCCCAGTAATTCCACAGTTCACACTAGGTGAGAGGAGCAGTGGTACCAGCTAACTAGCTGATCAAAACAGAATTGTAATATTAGTTTAGACCCTTTGTGTAGCTGGTGTTATCATTCCTACTTCAAAAACTCTCTAGTGCTTTAGGCAACCCCCTCCCCTTACCCCTCCCGTTTTCTTTTTACTCCTTTTCCTTCTCAGTAAAAGGGCCTCAGAGGACTTACAATTAGTTTTCTGGACTTGTGATTTTATAAACTGAGCCTGGCAACAACCATGACTATGCTAAAACCAGGATTGATTTGCAAGCATCTCTTCAGTCTACGTACCTCTAACTCCATCGCTGGCTTCCCTTTGCTTCGATTATATAATGCGAGGAGGTCTATATAATAAATTCAGGATTCCTGTTTATGCACTTTTCAGCACAGAGCTAGGGATCAAATAAGGTTTGAATCCTTCTATTCCTAGATAAACATCTGTGACAGGGGCCAAAACACCCCTTTAAAAGTCATGTTAAATAGGCACTATTCTTTGGGTAAGCAAACCTTAATGAGTTCACAATTTTTTTAAATTCAGACTTGTAATGGTTTTCTGCTCATGTTTTAGAGCATCTTAAAGTCCAATATTTATCAAATTGGGTCAATATTCCAGTATCTATAACACCCAATATTGGTATCACACAGCTCATTCTGTACGTGAAGTTCCATTTAAAAACAGTTCTTTCCTGGAAAGGTTAACTGTTGGGACAAGAAAATTTTTATTATGAACATAATTTTGAAAGCACTGTAAGTTAAAAGGTTTCAGTGAGCACTAAACTAGTTGCAAATTATACATTAAGTGAGCTGTAAATATCACTGAGGTAAGGCCAAGCTGACATCTACTAATCATGTTCTTCCTGCCCTGAGTTTCTGGGATAACAGGACAGGCCATCACACCTAGCTGGAGATTCCTTTACTGCAGTTATCATACTCTTCCCTTCTCTAGAGGAATGCAAGACAATGAGAATCTCCTTTTACTAGTGGTAATAAACAAGTCCAGCACATTATAATCCTATTATATGGTATACCCTTTCATGACCAACTAATCTGCACACATTGTTTAATTAGACAATCCCAGACTATGCTTCTTCCACCGCCATGAAGACAAGCTAGGAACAATGAATGACTCCTTGCCACAGTTTATTTCTCAAGTTCACAGAAATCATTTTGAAACCATGAGTTGCTTCCACTTTGGAAGACAAGTTTGGAGTTCTTCTCCATTAAGCAACAATGCTATCAGAACTGCTACCAATTCTCACTTGGTAGATGATCTGGTGTAGGTGGTAAATTTCCTCTAAGCTTAGCTGATCAAGTCATGATTTCAGACAATAGATTAAATGCTCTGTATGTACTAATATAATCAACCCCCCCTGCTGTATGACTTTAAGCTTCCTTCCTCACTACATCTCATTACCCAAGCAGAAAGATATCCTATTTTCCCTGTTTTGCACTCCTGTTAAGTATTTAAATTCTACCAAGTAGATAGCATTTTAAATATCACCTAAAGGACTCTTAAACCTAAAAATAAGCATACATTATTTCACTTAATGTATGCAAGGGAGAAATGAGAAAACCTGTTAGATTTGTCCATCTGGTTGCCAATCTTAATTTTATAGATGCTCCTAGAACCTACCATAATGTTAAATACACAAGCAGCAATGAATTTGGAATACCTATTGGAATCTCTGGAACACATTTAGATGGGCCCTTTCTTTTACTCTTCCACACAGCACATTCACATGGACAGACTAAGGAAAAGGAGATGAAACTTATATCAGCACACTTCTTTTGCTTTTTTATTTTTACAAAAAAAAAGTACGTTGGAACCTTTATTATTTTACCTGTCCATAACTTTCCCATCTCTCTTAACTAGGTACTCAAGTTGCCAAATGAACTAATTTTCTGTCTATATAGTTTAATGCTTTTAGAGCATGATATATACATTTACAGATTAAATGTCTATTTCTACCCACTTGTTCTTGGTGGCTATCAATTTGTACCAATGTTTCAAGTGTTTGTACATATTTTACTGGGCAAAACTGACCACTTCTACTTTCATGGAATGGGACTGTCAAAGGAGAAGTACAAAAAACTGGATTCTAGGTTCAGCATTAGATGCAGCCCTGGCTGTCGAGCCTGCAACCCAGAATTCCTAACACTCTAAATGTTAGGCTGAATATACTCATGAGCATTTTGTCATTGCTAAACATAGAGTAACAACCTAAAGCCTATTATTTTTCTAGAGACTAGCCTAGTCTATACAGTTTCAAGTAGTTTGTCACACTCAGACTCAGCGGTTTTAAAGCAAAGCCTTGTTACTTAAGGATTGGCTAAACCTTGGCATATAAACAAACTACCAAGTTTGTATTCTCAGACCCATCTGCTAACTTTAAGGAAATTTGACATTTGTTTAAGTTACCAGACATGCCTAATTTCCATATCCTAATAATGTACTCTTTAAAAGCTGGTATCACCTACCACTTATCAGTAGTTCCTACCAAACTGGGTTTGCAATCACCAATGAATCCCCAATAATACATGTTACATGTTTTAGCCTATTACACCTTACAAATGAGTAAGTCTCTAGGGCAACTAATTTATCACCTTTATTTTTATTCAATAGGCAAGAATGTGAAGTATAATAGCAAGTTCCATCTATTTCTCTCGAGTTCACTTTCATAAAGTCCTGGTGTTTTGTATGATGATGTGCTCCACAGTGCTAACACCCAAAATGAGCTAGCACGTTTATCAAAATTATGTCTTCCACCCCAGTGCACTCGGGGGAATGTGCCACTTCAATCCTTTGCACACAGCAAGAATCCCATAGTATTAAGGTTAGGAATACAGGGTAATAAGACAAACTCCAACATGAATTAGTAAACAAAGTACTTTTTTAAAGCTTATTTGTCAAAGCACTTTAACTGAGTGCACTGTCTTCCCTCTTTTGATAAGCTGTAGAATGGATGCCTCTCAAACCCAACCTAACCATTGAAGAAGGCTCTCCTTTAATGGGATGAAGAGATCTGGGACTTCTATTTCTAATAAAACTACTCTTAATATTTCCTTTGTCATTTACTCTTAGGTATAAGTCCCAACAAATAGGCATAACAATCTAGTGCCA